TTTTGACTGTTGTTGCTGTTAAAATGTCAATCAGAGAATAATTCCCTGACAACTAACAGTATCTCCACACTGCATTAATTCTGGACACCGTTGTTGGTCTCCTTTGCAATGGCATCGTTGCCGTTACTGTTCAGATAACAATATTTGGCAGCTTCCTGTTTTGTTGTTGTTGTTGTTGCTGTCGTTGCTGCCACAGCTGCTTCTGCTGTAGCTGCCTCACAGATTTTTCGTTGAAATCAAAACCAAGAAAAAATATTAAGTTTTTGGTTTGACAGAGAAAAATATTTGTAAAAAGTTAAAGTCTCAAAAAATTTTTCAACTGATTCTGCACGTCTGTCGCCTTTTCCGTTGCTACAAAAAACAAAAAAACGCGAGAATTTTCCAGTAGTGTTAGAGACAGAAAAAAGTGGTAAAGGAAAAAACTACTTTTTCTGTTTGCTTGTTTCCAGTGCGAAGTCTGTAGTTTGGGTGTCTCAAGATGAGAGTGGTTTACCAGAGAAGAAATGCGTTAACGGATGGGTGAATGATGACGATCAAAGAAGCGATCTTGCTGGAACGGCAAAGAATCTAGGGGCTGGCGGTGGAGAAGGATTGTGGTGGGATAAACATCTTAAAAAAATTGCCAGAAATATTTCATAATCTTTATTGCTTCTCAAAAAATTGGACACCACTGTATTTGAACTTTTGTCACAGGATACCATTAATCAAACAGTAATCATACTTTAGGAGTTGCAATTAAACTTTAAAACAAGATTTGTTGCTTCGCTGTTGAGGTATGGTTCCCGAATTCGCTTTAAAATATTTTTTTCTAACAGACTTCTTCCTATTAATTCAGCAACCTCCCATGCTCTTCAAATTTATTCGCTCATTTCAAATTTGCCTATAAAAGCGATGAATGGATTGATATATGTGGAAAAAAGCCCAAAAGCAACAACTCTAAAATCGTGTTTTTGTTTTTTAAAGCTTTAGCACACACACACAACACTTGTTTTTTTCGCACAATGGCCCTCATCTGACCAGTAACAATTTAAATATAGGCACACAAGGACACTCCGACGGAGAATACCGAAAGAATTTCATCCCGCATAGGGACAAAATGGCAGCAATGCAGGATAAACGATTTTTTTAATGAAGACAACACTTTTTATTTTTACCCACAATTTGCACAGATGTACATTTATAACTGCTATGAAGCGTCACCAACGTCGTCATCATGGTCATCGTCATCATCAAACAATATTGTGATTGCTGATGATATTAGACGATGGCTCATAGAAACTTCAGTTATCTTCACTCCAAAATATGAAGACTTAAAAAGATGTATCAATTTAAGAGGTCAACAATCCGCCAAGTGAAATGAAGCGAAAAGCTAAACAAATTAGTTGATTGACATTTAGGACAAGGAAAAAAAAATTTCCTCTTTTTGTCCACATTCTCAGATTATCGTTTTTGATAAGATAAAAAAAAATTTTTTTTATTGCTCAATTTTATTTTGCTTTTTTTCTGTTGTTGTCGTATTTGAAAAATATGTGAAATGATTGGAAGGAACGGTGGGGGGGATAAGGAAAATTCTTTTTTTTTTCGTTTTGTTCCTAAATTTTCAAAAAATTGCCTAAAAATTGCTAAATAGAAGAAGAAAAAGATAGGAACGAAGAAATAATAGAATGACAAAGATCAGAACTCGGAAACAATGAAGACTTAATTGCAAATGCATACGGTTCAATTGGTGTTTAACAATAGTATCTTATTGTTATTCCGCTATCGTTTATTCGTACATATGTATTTCAAATTGAAATCGTGCAGTGCTTGTCAGTAACTACAAAATATCTTAGCCTTCTCAGTAATTCTATTCTCATCATTTACTAAATTTAGCAAACGTTTGAAATCTATTAGATCTATTTTAAATATTTTAAATGCACTATCACTTTTGCTACCGATACTCTGATTATAGTTCAAGCATATTTTTTTCTGCTTTATCAACCTATGATGGAATCAATAGAAAAAAAAATGATTGTTGAAAACTGTGGAAAGAATTGGTAGTGATGCCATTTAAGTTGAAAAATTATTCATCTGTCAGTATTACAATGAGAAATATCTAGAAAAAAGTGATTTTTTCTTCGTTTTCTAGAGTGGTGTGGTATATAAATAAAGTTCAGATGACTGAAAATTTTCAAGCAAATTTATATGTTTATTTATATCAAACAAAAAGAACTATTGGCATATAACCATTGACTCTTCACCAAAGACAATGGAAACATTTGTTTTAACGGCCGCGGTGTTTGGAAAACCGTTGAGGATAATCAAAGACCAAGAGACAGGCTGACGCTTTTATCACCATTATCAATGTTATTTATCGGAAGAATCTAGAGGGTGTATGATTCGAAGAGTACTAATTTTTATGAGGCTTCAACAAAGAGATATCGGCATTAGAACCCATTGAAATATGTCTTTTGCTAACACTAAATTGCAGTTTTTATTATCGTTATTATTGAACTCAAATAGGTTGAGGTTTTGAACGCCGCAACGCTAATGACCAAATAATACTGTTGTTGTTCATGTTTTTAAGGGTCTTATTGTTGACTGCTATTGCTGCTTCGTCAGCAATAGTGAAATCACAAAGACTGTTAACAATAGCTTATTTTTTTTTTTTGGTTAACCAATTATATGTTCCTCTTTTTTTGGCATACCTTTCTTCAAAACAGATAAAGGCGTATAAAATATGCGAAAAAAAAAACAAATTAGGTTGATAGAACTAATCTGCGATTCCGCTTCCCCTCTTACAATCACAACAATCAAATGACTACATTACAAATTTTTCTTATTTTTATTTTGCAATTGTTAGTTACAGTAACTTTTAGTTAGATGTCGCCAACGTAATCAGCGTACTTTAACGATTATAGCACATAACACTGATTATGGTGTTATTAGACTGTAAAAGATTATTAGGGTTAAAAAAGAGTCGAAAAAAAAGTAAACATCCAGAAAAAAACTTACTCGAAACCAAAAACCAGTCTTGCTTTTTGTGGACCGGCATACTTTATTAATGCTATTCGTGTTGCATCGGGTCCAATCGGTAAACGATCAATAAGCTCAATAATTAAGTCAATTTGGCGTTGGAAACGTTGCCGGAGTGAACCAGACGCATCCAAAACAATCATCAAGTCTAACATACAACCTGAAAACAACTAAATAAGCCTTTTTTGCTGTTAGCGCTGTTTCAGCTGTTGTAATTACTGTTGCTACTCATCACGCAGAATAGCAGCCAACAAATTTATCATCTTTTAGGTACTAGACTGTATTGTATATATAAGTTTTTTCTTCCAGTGGGTACATTTACTAATCTGATATCTTACAGTTGTGCAATGCCAAAATTTTGGCTTGGTACACTCGCCTTGTATATCTTGTTTATAAGCAGTTACAGAAGTATCAATTTTTCGAGTACTATATTCTGGTAGTTTCGTAATATACGATGGAGTGGTACTAATGCTAAACGATGATGACGGTGCTTTCGTGATATATGGTCGTGGTGTTGTAGCTGGATATTTCTGCGTATAATACGAAGGTGTTGACATTCCGCTTGGATACTGCAATTCTCCCTTCCGTAACAGGTCAAGAGTTCTGAAATTTAGGTATGAAGATTGTAATACAGCTTTTAGGAAAAATATTGCGTGTCAGGCTGTCCACTAAGCATCACATAAATAGCACTGTTTTTTGCTTGCTATTTTTTTCTTCACTGCTGATGCTTTCCAATTTTTTAAAACTTAGCAAGCTAAGTGTTTAATGCAGGACTTTTGTGAGCATGTCGGATAACAGGAGCATGGTTCTCCTTTATAATTGAAGAAGAAATGCTCTGGAGTATAATCTAGTGTTGTTGTCGCTGTTACTGGTGCTGCTGCTGCTGCTGCTGCTGTTGCTGTCACTATTGCTGTTGCTGCTCCTGTTGCTGTTGCTGAAGTTGGCGTTGTTGTCGGTGGAACAAAACCTAATAAAATACAAATGGATATATTCAATTTAGTCTAACGATATAGAAACTATAATACCTCCTTCTTCTCCCTCACTTATTCTCCTCCTCTTTCCTCCCAATGAAGACAAAGTAATTGTCATAAAACGTTGTCATAACTTTTTTTTTCCAGTTTTATTTTTGCAATATTTTTGAACATTTAATTCCTCAAATTGTTTTAAAGTGGCTTAAAAGTAGAGTTTTCTCTTTGTTAAAGAAACTGTTATTGATGTGCATCAATAATAGTTCTGAATTACTTTTGATACATTAATGTAACTAATACTTAATTTTATTATTTCCAATAACATCAGATTAATCTTAGGCACAGTAAAATGGATTACTTGTTGTATATTCTGCTGCACTTACAAATACTTCATCTTTTGTTTTAGTAGGATAGCTTTCTTCTTGCACCATACTTTCTAAAAAAAAAAAAAAAAGAAAATAAAAAAAAAAGAAAAATTATACATGGAAAGAAAAAAAAAAACTGGAGAAGTCAACAAAACAGCAATTATTTTTCCATTTATAATTTAAGAAGGAATTTGTTAAAATGCCAAAAGTTGATCAAAGATTACTTAAAGACCGTCTTTTTCTTTGATTTATTATCATTACAATTTTTTTTTTGTTTGGTTTAAATCATTCTTTTTTTTTTTTTTTTTTTTTTTTTTTTAAAAAA